TGGAAGCGGTGTGAAGCAATTACAGAATTATATTTGAGTCCCTCTGTGGGTTTCTATTCTACTCTACAGTGCTTTCTGTAGTGTGGAGGGAGGGAGGGTCAAGCATGACTGACATCACATTACACATTCTAAGCACAGGGTTCTAGATGGAGTAAGGCTGCTCGGAGAACCTGTGGGTGCATGTCTGCCTTTCTTAACCATCCATGTCCACACACCAGCCACAAGTGCCTCTCTCTTTCCTTCTCATTCTCCTTCCAGAATAGAATTCTGCAGTGGCAGGGAAATGTTTCTCCCATTTGATTGCCCAGGGGCCACACACAGCTCTCAGTGACAGGAGGAGTCATCCATAGTGGGTTTAGACTAAAGTGTTTCAGGAGCCAGCTGGGGAGGAAGATGGGGTGTGCAGCCGAGAGCGGCAGACTCTGCTTCACCTGACCCAGTGGCTCTCACCCTTCCTACCCTGTGACCAGTTGATACTGTTCTTCATGCTGTGGTGACTGCCAACCATATAATTATTTTGTTGCCACTTCATAACTGTAATTTTGCTATTATGAATCATAATGCAAATATCTGATATGTAGCTCCTATGAAAGGGCCGATTGACCCCTTCAAAGGGGTCACGTCCCACAGGTTGCGAGCCGCTATTTTAACTTTGGAGCTCAACCAGATTTCTAAACTGACTGATCCAGGGCTACTGAGGGAGAGAGAAGCAGTTAGGAAGTGCTGGTCTGTCTTCGTTCTACTTCCTTTTACTCTGCCTACTGCATGTCCCTGTGTTTCATAATACAGAGGACATCGTTCATTCACCAAGTTTTGTTAAGAAAACTTGAATCCTTGGGAGCCTCTGAGGAGACCAACTGCCTGCCTTCCTGGCCCTGCCAGCAACTAACTTGTTTTGTGTTTTTATCAGCACAACATGGTCTGAAAACTTTTAGTTGTTTGTTTGTTTTACTGTGCTGAGTATGAAACCAAGGGCCTTGCACATGCTAGGCAGGGTCTCTCCCACCTGAGCCACACCCTTGCACCTCAGAAGGATAAACATTTGAAAGAAAATTTAGTCCAACTTTTCACCCCACCTTTATCCCATCACCAACAGAATATACGTCTTGTCTCTGGTTCAACAATTCAGAGAAAGGGAAACATCACCCCCAGAGCCAACTGGTTCTGTCTTTCAGAGATATCGTTGAGTTATACAGACACCTGGCTTCTTGGACATGCACACAGGTAGCCTGATTTTGTCCTTTGAACCTACATACAAAGTACCATGGTCAGAAGCTCGAAAGTCTCTCATTGGAAATACCCTTAGAATGGGCCCAAGACTCCAAACATAGCCCAGTGTGGAGAATAATATATGGCAATATTATTTTTTATCTTATAATTGAATTTTTTAGGTATTTTTTTAGAATAGTTTTTGTTAGCCAAACATGGTACATACCTTAAATTCCAGCAGTTGGAAACAAAGGCTAGACTAGTGTGATACTCAGTAAGTAAATAATTAACTAATTAAAATAAAGTGACAATTACCATAAGGAAAACATTCAGTAAAAAGACCCAAGGTGCCTGTGTTCCCTGGTCCTGAGCCCAGTCTGAGATGTAGATACCTTGGCTCATACCCACCAACCCTTAGTCCTAAATTATATGATCACCCTGCCTTCATTTCCTCCTTCTTGTTCACAAAAATACTATGAGCATTTCAATGTGAGTTGAAACAAAATGCATGGTGCACACTGTTTACCGGTGGGTCCATCTAGAACCTTTAAAAGCCTACTGGACGGGTTTTTGCAGTTACTTTTATCTGAGGTTTTCCTTCATAACTGCAGTGATTCTACAGAGAGAGACCTGTGTCTGTGATGTCCTAGAATCTACGTGGCCACTTTTCACAGAGCGGTCCTCTGGTCTCACAGTTGGCAGCATCTGCAGGTTCACCCTTGCTCTGCAGCATCTCAGGGCTTGAGGCCTGGTGACCACTGAAGGCACTGAAGGCACTGTGTTGCTTCCTGGCCAGACAGCCTGCCTGTTTCTCCTTTACCTTTTATCTTTCAGGGGCCTGAAAAAAATGAGGATGAGTGGTTGTTTCTCCCTGAGCTCTGTCCTCACCAGACTCCTGACATGGGCTCAGTTCCTGAGCTTTGGTCTCTCGAGTTTCCCATGCAGTCTTCCCATCTCTCTGCTTCCTGGAATTTGCTTTCCTAATGTCTAGGACACCAGCCTGACTTCCCAGTTGTTTTGCCTTAGTAATTTAACTCTACCATGGCGGAGTCTTTCACCCCGAGCTCTTAGGGCTTTGTTTTTCCTTTGTGTGTGTGTGTGTGTGTGTGGTGTGTGTGTGTGTGTGTGTGTGTGTGTGTGTGTGTGTTTTGTTTGTTTGTTTTTTATTTTTTATTTGGGGCAATGGGCTCAGTGTATAACCAGGCTGGCTTCAAACTCCTAGAGATCCACTTTCCTCTGCCTCCCATGTGCTGAGGTTAAAGGCATGTGCCACCATATCCAGCCTCTTGTTTGCCCTTTATTTGTTTAAAATTTTATGTGTATGAGTTTGTTTGTTTGTTTTTTTATTTTGTCTGAAGCCACACCTGTTGTCAGGTGGCTCCTACTTTCTTCTGAGCCCTCTTTTTTTTTTTTCTTAAGATTTTATGTATTTTATTTATGTGAGAACACAGTAGTTGTCTTCAGACACACCAGAGGAGGGCATCGGATCATATTACAGATGGTTGCGAGCCACCATGTGGTTGCTGGGAATTGAACTCAGGACCTCTGGGAGAACAGTCAGTGTTCTTAACCACTGAGCCATCTCTCCAGCCCGTGTATGGGTTTTTCCTGCATGTACATTTATACCATTTGCATATGCCCAGCATGCATTGGAGGCCAGGAGTCATCATATTCCTTAGAACTGGAGCTACAGAGGATTGTGTCATCATGTGGGTGCTTGGAATTGACCATGGGTCTTCTAGAAGAATAGCCAGTGCTCTTAACCACTGAGCCATCTGTCCAGCTCCCAGTCTTATTTGCCTTTTAATTCAAACTAAGTGCAAGGTAGAATTTCCTTTAGTAGTTCCTCCCTTATTAAAAAAGTAAGTGGCTGGGCCTGGTGGCACTGTAATCCTAGCCTTTGAGAGGCTAACTAATGAGTTCTAGGCCAACCTGAGATATGGTACAAGAGTCCTGTCTCAAATAAAAATAAACTTAAAAATTATAAGAGGACACAGTGATCCCTTAGTACCCACTGGAGATTGGCTCCAGGAGGGCCTGGAGATACCAGAAGCCACAGATGCTCAAGACTTTTATATAATGTGTGGAAGTTACATATAAGCTGCACACCTACTGCATGCCGTAATCATCTGCAGAGTATGTAGCACAAACATTTTTGATGCATGGTTGGTTGAATCTGGGCTGCAGAACCTGTGGCTATGGACGGAGGTCATATCTAACTCTGGGGAAATGAGAAAATTCAGTAAAATGAGAAAAATTCTTCCAGCTATTACTACACATACACAAAAACGGAATTCACTCACTGTTCATTCTTCTGTGTAGTTGTTAGCTCTGTCTAGTCTGTGACCGACACGGTCATATCAGTTGTCCTATGTAAAGGTGTAAGCCCACTTACAGCAGTGGTTCTCTGCCTTCCTCACACTGTGGCCCTTTAATACAGCCCCTCATGTTGTGGTGACCCCCAAACATTAAATTATTTTTTTTTGCTACTTCACAGCTGTAATTTTGCTACTGTTATGAAGTGCAATGTAGATGCTTTTGAAGAAGTTTGCTAAATGAGTCATGACCCATAGGTTGAGAACTGCTGAAATTGCCATCTTCTGGTTTCTGGGGGCCTTTGTGTCTTTGTGTGAAGGTTGAGCAGATAGCCTTTAGACCAGGACAGGTATGTCCTGCTGCTCAGGAATGCTGGCCTGGCCTTTCTTCACTCCCAGACTGGTTTACATCTAGCTCCAGCTGGATTGAGCTGGTAGCTTGCCTTAGAACAAGGCTTGGCATTGCCCCAGCGAAGAGATTCAGATCTAGAGGGCCACCAGTGTCCACCAGGGGGCACTCTGGACTCACCACAGCCTGTCCTGACACAGGAGTCTCCCAGTTTTCCCAGTCTTCAATGGCTGTGGGGACAATGTGGTGAAGGCAGGCCTGGCCTGAATAGATGAGTGTAACCAAAGGAAATGGTCACCTTGACAAGCCCAGGGCTGTGATGTTAGAGTGGGGCCTTGCAGGACAACCCGTTAACCTGTTGGAAAGGTGGCAACAGAGGGGGGAAAAAAAGGAAAAAAAGGGGAAAAAAAAGCTGAGGCAAGGGGCCTTGGGTTTTCCTCAGGTGTTTTTTAATATCCTCCGTCTTTCTCCCAACAGATCCACAGATGAGCATGGCCGCCACTGCTGCTGTCAGTCCCAGTGACTACCTGCAGCCTGCTGCTGCTACTACCCAGGCAAGTGCACAGCGGGCTCTGAGGGCAGGGCCAGAGCCTGGGTGGAATGCTGAAGTGGGTTTTCTGCCTCACTCAGACCCGTTTGCTCTCACTGCACACACCCAAAGAGATTCGCTTATTCTCATTTCTGAACTAAGACATAGTCACCTGGCTAAGATGTCAGAGTTGGGTCAGGCAAAAAGAGCAGTGTTACACCAGCCCCTGGGCTGGGGCCGTGGCTGTGAGTAAAGCCCTTGCTGCACAGGTGCATGAATACCTGAATCCAGTTCCAAGTACCCATGTAAGAAGCTGAGCTGGGCTTACTAGTACACAAGAGAGGCAGACAGAGAGGAATCCACTGAAGTTTACTGGCCAACTAGTCTTGCCCAGTCAGTGAGTTTCAGATTCAGAGATTAAGGTAAAGGAGGTAGAGAGACGCTCAGGGGTTAGGAGCACTGGCTGCTCTTCCAGAGGACCGGGTTTGATACGGCAGGCTCGTACTCCAGTGTCAAGTGATCTGATGCCCTTTCTGGCCGCTGGAAGCATCAAGTACTTGAGTGATACATAGACATACATGTAGTCAAAACACCCAAATACATTAAATAAATAACAATTTAATAAACAAAGTAGAGTCACAGAGTGAGAATTTAACATTAGGCTTTGGCCTCCACATACACTGACTCAAGTATGTCCACATATCCTTCACATAAACGTGCATACATGTATACAACACACACTCCAGAACAAAAACACACTCCCCATATTGAAAGCTAGTTCATGTCATCTTCCCCCCATCACCTCTCCTCTCCCTCCTGTGCTGAGTTGCTAGACTTCCATCTGATACCTGGGTGTGTCGTTATCCTTGCTAACACTCGGCTAGCAAGGCCAGGGGGAGAAGAGTCTGTGCTGTTGGTCTGTCGGATCCAGGGTTGGAGAAACCAGCAGGAGCCACTGCAGGGCTGTGTGTGTGTGTGTGTCTGTGAGAGAGAGTGAGAGCGAGAGAGAGAGCAAGAGAGTGAGAGAGAGCGCACTTGCCACAGGGGCGGGGAAGAACTCAGGTTGGGGAGCTGCTGAGATGAGAGGCCCTCGAGGACAGTGTCTAGCTAGTCGGCCCATCTCACTCCTTTCTTCTGCTGGTTTTTGCAGGATTCCCAGCCATCTCCCTTGGCCCTGCTTGCTGCGACATGTAGCAAAATTGGCCCCCCAGCTGTTGAAGCTGCAGTGACGCCGCCTGCTCCCCCCCAGCCTACCCCAAGGAAACTGGTCCCTATTAAACCTGCCCCTCTCCCTCTCAGTCCCTGCAAGAATAGCTTTAGCATCTTGTCATCTAAAGGAAATATACTTCAGATTCAGGGCTCCCAGCTGAGTGGCTCCTATCCTGGAGGGCAGTTTGTGTTTGCGATCCAGAACCCCACCCTCATCAACAAAGGGAGCCGATCAAATGCAAGCATCCAGTACCAAGTCCCTCAGATTCAAGGGAGCAGTTCCCAGACCATCCAGGTGCAGCCCGGTCTCACCAACCAGATCCAGATCATCCCAGGGACCAACCAAGCCATCATCACCCCGGCAGCATCCGGCCATAAGCCTGTCCCCATCAAGCCAGCTCCTGTCCAGAAGTCAAATACGACTCCCACCCCTGTGCAGAGCGGGGCTGGCGTGGTGAAGCTGACAGGTGGAAGTGGCAACATGACGCTCACCCTGCCGCTCAACAACCTGGTGAACACCAGCGATATTGGGGCCCCTGCTCAGCTCCTCACTGAGAGCCCCCCCACGCCACTGTCTAAGACTAACAAAAAAGCTAGGAAGAAGAGCCTTCCTGTGTCACAGCCATCGGTAGCTGTGGCTGAGCAGGTGGAGACGGTGCTGATAGAGACCACGGCAGACAACATCATCCAGGCAGGAAACAACCTGCTGATCGTCCAGAGCCCCGGTGGGGGCCAGCCAGCTGTGGTCCAGCAAGTCCAGGTGGTGCCACCCAAGGCTGAGCAGCAACAGGTGGTCCAGATCCCCCAGCAGGCATTGCGGGTGGTGCAAGCTGCCTCTGCCACCCTCCCCACCGTTCCCCAGAAGCCCTCCCAGAACTTTCAGATCCAGACAACTGAACCAACACCAACCCAGGTACCACAGTCCCTCTGCCCTGCCTCCCTCTCCTCTGCTCACCCTTTTGGCTTGCTTTTGAACCTGAGGCAGATCATCACCAGATCTGATGGGAAGCTGGCGTCACCATCATTTGGGGTGGGCAAGAAATGGCTTCTGCCTTGGGGTCTCTTCAGATCTTAGGCCAAGTAGTCCTGACCTGTAGAAATCAGATGGATATCTGGTCTGTTGTACTTTTTCCTTATGGGGGAGCTCTGGAGGCATAACAGGGTAGATGTGTGTGCTTTCATGATAAAGTATTTATCATAAGATTACATATAACAGCAAGAATGAGAATTTGAGCCAGAACCATAGAGTCTGGTGTAAAGTAAAGTTCAGGAGGAAAAATGCTGACCACTGCTCATGACAAGAAAAATTAACAAGTGGGATAGCCAGGCCTTTGTCCATTTTTGAGACAGGGTCTCCCTGTGTATTCCAGGTGGGTCTTTACTCACTGCACAGCCCAAGCTGGTTTCAAACTTGGAATTCTCCTGCTCCAGCCTCAGTGCTGGGATTACAAGTGTGAGGTATATCCTTGCTTCTTTCCACCTCTGCTGTCCTCCCCAAGAGATGGTTTTCCTTCCGCTTCCTTCCTTGTGTGTACATGTGAGTATGTGTTGTCCTCTCTGGTCTAGGTGCCTCCTGAGGAAGAAGACATACTCGTCTTCCTGAGCCTGCCGTATTCCACTCAACATGATGACCTCTGGGTCGGGGAGTGTGCTCACGGCTGCTTCTGCTGCTGTCAAGTCAGCTGGCCATTCTGCCAGCTGGTCAGCTCTGTCGTTTTAGCTGCCATGTGGCTGGCCATCTTGCTGCTTTTGTAGATGCTTCTGTCACTTTGCAATCTCTGCTGCTTTTTCCTTCCTTTTTTTTTTTGGTTGACCAGCTAGCCTCAGACTCAGATCTGCCTGTCTCTGCCTCCTGAGGGCTGGGATTAAAAGCGTGCACCACCACCACCCAGCTGCTGCTCCTTTATGTCCCCAGTTCACCCCACTCTAAAAGCAGACAAGAACAGACAGAGCCTAATGTTGCTTGAGGCAGACAGGGCAGTAAGAGACTCCAGCAGCCATGGGAGTCAAACTGCTCCATTCCCAATGTCTCTGCTGATGTACAGAGAAATGACCGTGAGAAGGAACACTCAAAATGAACGTTTGAGCCAGGCAGTGGTGGCGCACGCCTTTAATCCCATCACTTGGGAGGCAAAGGTAGAAGGATTTCTGAGTTCGAGGCCAGCCTGGTCTACAGAGTGAGTTCCAGGACAGCCAGGGTTACACAGAGAAACCCTGTCTTGAAAAATCCAAAAAAAAAAAAAAAGAAAGAAAAGAAGGTTTGAAAGTTGAGTCAGGTGCAGTGGTGCACACCTGTGACCACACCTTCAGGAGGCAGGACTGCCATGCATGCCACCAGGCCCAACGATTTTAGCAGATTTGAGCAGTGCTCAACATGGGGCTGGAGAGATGGGTCATGGCTGAGAGACTAGCTCCTTTTTCCAGAGGCTCCAAGTCTGAGTCCCAGCACTCATGTGGCTCTCAACCAGCTGTAACTCCACACTGATCCACAGGACTCAGCGTCCTCCTGTGGAGACATCTGCACCAGTCACACATGTGATAAACAGACATTAGACAAAGCACCCCCACACAGTGTGGTAATGGTAAAAACCAAACTGTTTGACACCCACTCAGTACCACCCAAGGGAGAGGTGGGCCCCTCACCTGACTTGGCGTTAGAGGGAAGCAGAAGAGAATGCAGGAGGGGGCAGGTCGTCTCCATCTTGCCCTCCCCCCAGTTACTCAGCCAGCCATTTACTACCTCAGAGAAAGAACAAGTGTAACATGGTAAGATTTTAAAATGGGATACATACTACAGAACTGGAAAGAGATATGAGGCTTCTGAATGTATTAAGGGATGACGGGTTTATATGTTATCCTTTAACTAAAAACAGTCTTCAGTATCCAGGAATTAGAAATAACCCCAATTAAAATCACAGTTTTACAAAGGATTTTTTTCTCCCTGGATCATTTAAGTGTGAACTGCCACCATGATCCTTCTCCCACTTCAGATGCTTTAATCCTCCCACACAGGCACAGTCAGTACACACGGCAGCCTTCAAGCCTGAAACTCAATAGAGGACTGCTGGTGTCTAATGGGGAGGCACCACTCAGGTTTCACTGCATGCTTTGGTTAGTAAGTCCAACAGTGCCTAAGGACTCTGTCCACCTTACATGCAGTTGTCACATCTCTCTAGTCAGCTCTCTCAGGAAGAACTCACACCCCCACCTCCGTGGAGCTACGTCCGAAACCATACCCCCAGCTCTACTTCCTCTTTAACTTGACAGTCATGACCTTGCTGCTTTTGAAGGCACGGGCTAGTTGTTTTGTAGAATGGCCTTGAGTTTGTTTGTGATATTCCCATGAGTGGCTGCATTTGCCATCCCAGTGCTCATACAGAGAAGTGAGTGGCAGAGACAGGAGAACCAGAAGCTTCATGAGCCAGCCACCCTGGCATATTCGGTAGTGAACAAGAGGCCCAGCCTCACATGAAGGCAAGGACTCACACCCATGGTTGTCCTGTGACTTCCACAAGTGTGCTGTAGCACACGTGCACCCATACTCTCACACATAAACACACACCAGACATAAAATTTACTTTTCTTCCTTTTTATATTTCATTAGTATTTTGAAGAGAAACATTTTGGAATAAGATAAATATCGTGTTCCCCTTAAACAATTTTCTAGATTTATTATTTTATTATATATATGGTTTGCTTGCATGTATAGGTATGTGTATTGTGCCTGTGAGCAGAGTATGTGAGCATGCCTCGTGCCTGAGAAGGTCAGAAGAGGGAATCGGATCCCCTAGAACTGGAGTTACGGATGATGTAAGCCACCGTGTGGATGCTGGGAAATCTGGGTCCTCTGAGAGCAGCTGATCCTCGTAACCACTGACCCATCTCTCCAGCCTCTTATTTTTAAAGATAGTTTGCTGTGTGGTTAAGCTGACCTCCGTGTCACTTTGTAGCCCATGCTGGTGTTGTGCTTTTTTATTAATCTTCCAGGTTTGAGATTTAGCAATTAATATTTTTCCATGTTAAGCAGATTAAAAGTTTGGTTGCAGGTCAGTAACCAGCTCATGCCAGTTTAGTGCAGGGCATCATTGGCCCTGTTAAACATCAGTAGTGCACAAGTTATTCTTGGGCTAGATGAGGTGACAAAGGCGCCCAGTTCTCCCTTGGATAAGGAAGGTTATGCTGCTGTCTCTCTTAGGGCACTCTCTTTTCTCTGGCCCCTCAGGTTTACATCCGTACACCTTCTGGTGAGGTACAGACAGTCCTTGTCCAGGACAGCCCCCCTGCAACAGCTGCAACTACATCAACCATCACCTGTAACAGCCCTGCCATCCGAGCTCCCCATCTGAGTGGCACCAGCAAAAAACATTCAGCTGCAATTCTCCGAAAAGAGCGACCCCTGCCAAAGATTGCACCTGCTGGGAGCATCATCAGCCTGAACGCTGCACAGCTGGCAGCAGCTGCTCAGGCCATGCAGACCATCAACATCAATGGTGTTCAAGTCCAGGGTGTGCCTGTCACCATCACCAACACTGGCGGTGAGGGAAAGTCCTGAAGTCAGGAGAGTACTGGCAGCAGGGCTTTACATTCAGTATATGGGAATCCTGAGCCAGGCTCCTGGGATTTCCAGTATCAGCCATGAGGATGCTGTCCATCCAAGATGATGCCCAGCATTTGCTTGGTCCTCTCCAGCCTTACGGCATGTCCATCTTTACACTTGGTCCTTACAGTACTGTGAGATAGTAAGTCACATGACCGCATGATAACGGCAGGTGTTGAATGATGATGGAGAAAATAGATGTGTCCAAGTAATACACAAACTACATTAATTTGGCTGGTCACTTGCCCAGGTCAGTTGACTTAAGGGCCATACCATGTAAAGGAAGTCAAGGCTTCTTTTGGGGAGTGGGGGGCAGTGTGTTTCAAGACAGAGTTTCTCTGTGTAGTTCTGGCTGTCCTGGAACTCACTGTAGACAAGAACAGCATCTGACTCCTGGGCGTTGTGATTAAAGGCCATCTAGCTAAGGAAGGCTGCAGTTGAGAGTGAGAGGCAGGGAAGAGTGTCCTGGGCAGCAGGACCAGTTTGTGCTACACAAAAGCTGATGATGAGCCAGGCGGTGGTGACACACGCCTTTAATCCCAGCACTTGGGAGGCAGAGGCAGGTGGATTTCTGAGTTTGAGGCCAGCCTGGTCTACAGAGTGAGTTCCAGGACAGCCAGGGCTACACAGAAAAACCCTGTCTTGAAAAACCAAAAAAAAAAAAAAAAAAAAAAAAAAGCTGATGATGATACGTTCTGTTAGTGCAGCCCCAGAAAGACAGAGAGGGACTGGGAGATGCCTCGGCACTTAGCAACACTGGCTGCTCTTCCCAGCACCAGCATGGCAGCTCACAAGAGTCTCTAGCTAGTCTCCTAGGATCTAATGCCCTTTCAACAAAAAATTAAGAAGAGAGAGGGTGGGCTGAAGCTGCCTAGCAAAGCGGGCTATGTTCTGTACCCGGAAGTCATGCAGCTTTCCTGGGGTAGTGCGTTCACGGCTTTCCTCATCCCTAATGAATGTCTAGCATTTTATGCATTTGTTTTGTCCACTTTTAGGAGCCATAAAGAGGAAAAGGAAGCCTAGAGTAATGTCCCCCAAAGCCCATGAACAAAAATTCTTAGGCAAGTTCCTGCTAAGGGTAGGGTCTGAGGGAGGCCTCTGCCCTCACTGCACCCCAGTGTATGAGGCCCCATGATTCTTTCTTAACCCAAGAAAGAGAGAGAGAAGGGGTAGCCTGGGCTTCCTTTCCAGAACCATGCCCTTCTCTCTCCCACAGGGCAGCAACAGCTAACAGTGCAGAACGTTTCTGGAAACAACCTGACCATCAGTGGGCTGAGCCCCACCCAGATCCAGCTGCAGATGGAGCAGGCCCTAGCCGGAGAGGCCCAGCCTGGGGAGAAACGGCGGCGCATGGCTTGCACATGTCCCAACTGCAAGGATGGGGAGAAGAGGTAACGTGCCCGACCCAGGCCAAACCCTCACCCCTGTTCCACAGGTCACTGAGTGGGACAAGTCTTTTTTTTTTTTTTTTTTTTTTTTTGGTTTTTCGAGACAGGGTTTCTCTGTGTAGCCCTGGCTGTCCTGGAACTCATGCTGTAGACCAGGCTGTCCTTGAACTCAGAAATCCGCCTGTCTCTGCCTCCCAAGTGCTGGGATTAAAGGCATGTGCCACCACCACCTGGCGAGTGGGACAAGTCTTGACCTGACCTCCTGTGGCTTCTCTTCCTTCCCTCTTCCCACTTCCTCCCCCCATGCTGAACCCAACTCCTCAGGTCTGGGGAGCAGGGCAAGAAGAAGCATGTGTGCCACATCCCGGACTGCGGAAAGACTTTCCGGAAGACATCCTTGCTTCGGGCCCATGTCCGCCTGCACACTGGCGAGAGACCCTTTGTCTGCAACTGGTTCTTCTGTGGAAAGAGGTTCACACGGAGCGATGAACTCCAGCGACATGCTCGAACCCACACAGGTCAGTTCCCCATGCCCTCATCTGTCCTTTGTGCACCATTGTCCCCACCTGTTCGGGAGCTTCATCACGGTCCACACTACCCAGGGAGGTCACATGGTCCTCACTACCCAGGGAGGTCACAAAGCCACTGAGAGGCTGCCCAGAGTCAGGTGCTGCGTCACACTGCCTTGATGAGCTCTTGTCACTTCAGCTGTTGTTAAAGCACTGAGCTAGGCAGCTATCTTCCCGTCAGTAGAGAGGTTGAGCAGGAGGATCAGGAATTCAGAGCCAGCCCAGGTAACATGACAGATTGTGTCAGAAGCAAGAAAAGTCCCAAAACAAAAGCAAACCCTGAGCAGTGATGAAGTGTGCCAGATGCTGTGTCTAGCACTGTCATATAAGTTAGTCCCAGTCAGGCCTGGGAGGGGTGGCTCAGGGACGGCCACCTTGCTGAGGCCTGGACAAGTGGCTAATAGTGGGCAAGCTGGGTTCTAACCCAGGCCCTTTGGCTTTCAAGGCCACACACTTTTTAAAAGATGGGTACTGGTGATGTGCCAGTTTGTTTTAGGACTTAAGGTCTTCTGGCTGAGCCTCTGTAAAGCACTGTGAACTAAGCCCCAAGCTTGCCCCACTTCCTGGCCTGCCCCTCTTCCTGGCCTGCCCTCTTGGGTTGGGAGAAGGAGCGATAACAAGATTGAGCTAGGTGTTCCAGGCTCCCCTTGTCACAGTCCTGCCTCAGACTCCAGCTGTTGGGATCACAGGTGTGAGTCCCAGACCGAGGGTTTTAAGACAACATTTTGCTGTGTAGCCGAGATTTACCTTAAATTCATGGCGCTTCTATCTCCTAAATGCTGAGATTACAGCCTGCTCCAACATGCCTGGCTTACTGCAAGCCTGCCTCGATGGCAGTCAAAGTTTGCTAGTAAGATTGCTGGCACTATTGTGTGCTTTAGTGCACACTATAGAAAGTGCCACACTACAGAAAGTGCCACACTATAGAAGGTGTCACACTACAGAAAGTGCCACACTATAGAAGGTGCCTTAAAGTTGTTCTGGGCATGCCCAGTGGTCCACAGGGCACACTGGCAGAAGCTGTTGTAGTGATGCCCTGCAGAGCAGACACTGGAGGTGGGGGATATGCCTCAGCGCCTGGTGAGTCACACCCCCTCAGACACAGGGTGGTCACTGTGGTGCTCAGGGCTGAGGCAGCTTCCTGCAAGGAGGAAGGTGTTGACGAAGGTTTAAAGTCCATGGGGCACAGTCCAGCATGAAGCAAGTCCACAGAGGCTCAAGGACAAGCTGCCTGGGCAAGGACTGAGGAGTGGACTGGAGTGAGGTAGATGAGACAGGCAGCTGGGGCAGATAGGTGCCACCAGTAGACCTCAGGAGGGGCTGCTAGCAGAGTGCGGAGACAAGGCCGAGTTGGCTTTTCCAGGGGCTCTTGAATTCTGGGGCTTCTCCTATCTGAGGCTGGGGCAGTGATGCTGCATGCCCTCTTTGGTAACAGCTATTTCTTCTTCTTCCCAGGGGACAAGCGCTTTGAGTGTGCCCAATGTCAGAAGCGCTTCATGAGGAGTGACCACCTCACCAAGCATTACAAGACCCACCTAGGCACGAAGGGCTTGTAAGGCTAACTGAGGCAAGAGGCCTGAAGATGGAACATCCCCCATCTGACTGGCCCCGGGTCCATGATGGACAGGTGCCCACAATTGCCCTGGGCAGCCCTCACCCCACTCCTATTCTGTGGCTGTGTCCCCACAGGGAGGGACTCTATTCCTGTGTTCTCCTCCTTCCAAAGGCTCTGCCCTTCTCACCATGAGCTCCTAGCCTGCCCAGGCTATGGACACTGGCCATGCCCAATGAGACGTTCTAAACCAGGACGCGTGGGGACCCTTATTTCCAAAGGAAAAACATACATTTCACTCCGTCGAGGAGCAAAGTGAGCCCCCTATCCCCACCCCATCCCCTCCTCAACACTGCCGGAGTCCCATTGTGCCATGCCCCCCTTTCCCCCACTGTGCCTCCTTTTCCCCATCAATTAACTCCTCCTGGGCCGTTAGGGACACCCTGGGGCCCTGTACCTAGCCTCCCACTGACACCCACCTCCGGGGAGGTGGGAGGCTGCCTCCACTCCACTGCCCAGCCCTGCGCGGCTCTCCTCCAGACATTCCAGCTTCCTATGAAAGGTCAGACGCCGAGGACTCCCCTCCCTCTTTTCTACGGAGAACGTTGCCTTATACTCAACTTCAGATGATGAACACTGTGGACGTGTGTGCTTTAAAGACATTTATTTAATTGCTCCCTTCCCTCTTTGCTAGCCGCCTCCCCTTGCCTGCGTTCAGTTTAGGGGTTTAAGGGCAATGCTGCGCATAGGAAGGTTTCTTTTTTTTCTTCCTTCTTTTTTTGGTATATTTTGTTTTTTCCTCACTTTAACAATTCTTTTCTAAATGACACATTTCAACTCAAATCTGGACTCACATGAAAACACCTTCCATCCTGACCCCTTCACGCCGTCAGCACCCTACCTGCCCAAGCTCCATTGTGTACAGTGTATATTGTATAATGGACGATTGTGTCTATGACATGTTTTAAAAAAACATATTGCTTGTTATTTTTGAGGCTTTTAAATTAAACAGAAATCCAACTTTATTTTTCGTTGTAACTGCTTGAGGATGTTTTATTAATTAAGTGAAGATTTGTTATCCTTTATTAACAATGTATTTTGTTGGTCAGTACTGGGCTGACAAAAAAGTTTCTTGCTAATAAATTTAGTTGCCCGAGGCAGAGTCTGCGTTCGGCAGTTGGGCTTTTTTTGTCTGTTATGTCAGAGGTCTTACAGAAGGGCTCCTGAGGGGGAGCTGTGGACTTAATTTACCCTCCTGGTCCTGGTCCCAAAGGAGATGAGCTCTCAGAGCACCTGGGGACCTCCGGAGCCCAGAGACTAGTGTGGTCTCTTTTTTCCCCCACTCCCAGTCTTGCTTCAACCACAGAGACTAATCTTCGAAGGACTTCCTGAGCTGGCCGACTGTTATACCTCCCACCCCAGCCCTGAGGACGGCATTTGCTTCACACTCCCCCTTAGAAGCTCGAGGAGTCCAGAGCCTTGGCCCACAGGTTGGATTTGCAGAAAATACTGTTCCCTCAGGGTGGAGGTCTGGACGGAGCAGGCTCCCCAGGGTCGCCTTTGGGTTTGTGTTGGGTTGCAAAGCAGAAACTGTGTTGGGGACCTTTTCATTTTGGCAGAACTACAGAGAGGTCAGGGATTGTGATTTATTTATTCAGATTTCAAACTTGAGTTAGTGTGCAATCCTGGAGGCCTGAAAAGCAGCAGCCAGGCTGGAGGGAGAGGCCAGTCTGCCGCGGACATGTAGGACACTGGATACTTTGTACTCACCCTCAGAGCAGCCAGGACTGCAGCTCTGCTGAGGGTTCAGGCTTCTGCGTCGCCATCCTGTTGCCAGGCCATCCTTGTCGCCAGCCACCTGCACTGCCAACAGCTTTCCCCCAGAGCCAGTCCAACCCCACATAGCTGAAAAATAAAAAAGGACACGGGTCTCAGAAGGCTCTCTGCCCTCAATGTCAGCAGCAGCAGGGGGTGACTCTTACTGCCTAATCTCAAACCCTTTGGGCACTATTAGACCAACAGCTGGATCAACTCTGTCATTAGCCCACCAGCTCGCATCTCAGTGAAGCCCTGACAGCCGGGGAAAGCCTTGCTGGGTAGGGCAAAGCGGCTCATTGATGAGTGGACCTCTTTCTTCAGTACACTGCCTCAGGCACAAGGGTTACTCTTCCCTGGGAGCTGACTCCAAGGCCTCTAGGTTATGCTGAGCTGACTCCTTTCCTTTTGTAAACAAATGGTGTCAATCCCCAGGTACGCAGGAGCAGGCTGGCATATGGGAGTTCCCTTCTCAGGGAGACGTACGTGCAGCTGTACTAGCTAATGGGATTCTACCTGTCTCTGCAGGATGCCTCAGGTGTTTTGTTTGTTTGAAATTTATTATTTTAGATTATGTTTAGGGGTATGTGTATATGTGTGTGTGTATGTGTGTGTGAGATGTGGATGTGTGCACATGAGTGCAAGTGTCCTCAGAGGCCAGAAGCATTAGATCCCCTGAAACTGGAGGTACAGCGTGAGCTCTAAACCTCTGGGCCATCTCTCCAGCCCCTGGATGCTGGCATTTTATGGGGAACATGTTCCGTCTAGTAATGATGAGGTCAAGGAGTAGAGAGCCTTCCACCTGGGAAGATGGCAGAGTGGGTAAAGTGTTCACCGTGCAAGCATGAGAACCTGAGTTCAAGCCCACATCAAAAGCCAGGCCTGGTGACGTGTTTGTTATTCCAGTCCTGGGAGGCAGAGATAGGCAGATCCCTGGATTGACTGAAGGCCAGGTCCAAATGAGAGAGAACCTGTCTCAAAAACCAAGGTGGATGTCTCCAAAATAAAAACATCTAAGTTGACCCCTGGCCTGTATATTCCTTGCAGTTGTGCAAGCACACACGCACACACATACAGACACACATTCAGGCACACAGACACACACACATACAGAGACACACATACAGACACACAAGCACACACATGCATGCACACATAAAGACATACACAGACACATACAGACACACACACACATAGACACACGCACGCACACACACAGACTCAGTGGCAAATGGACTCTTGCCTGGCTTTAACTCATCCTATATTAAAGAGCTCCAGTGGCCCAGGCTGTTGAGCCTACCCTCCCCTTAGCAAGAGGCCTCCACCAGATACTTGCTGGGGCCCCTTGATGACAGTTCTAGGTGCAAGCCACACCCAGAAGTTTAAGGGGACCCTTGCAACTCATGGTGGCTCCTCTGCCTGGTTCCTTTCTTTTTTTTTTTCTTTTTTGGTTTTTCGAGACAGGGTTTCTCTGTATAGCCCAGGCCGTCCTGAAACTCACACTGTAGACCAGGCTGGCCTCGAATTCAGAAATCCGCCTGCCTCTGCCTCCCACGTGCTGGGATTAAAGGCGTGCACCACCACCACCCGGCCGCCTGGTTCCTTTCTTAAGTCATCTGTCCCAAAGCTTCTGCTCCTGTCCTTGCCTTTCACACTCGACACTGAAGCTCTTTAGCCCAGATAACCAGGATCTCTTCACCAAAGACCTACTTCCTGAAGGCAAACCCAAGCAATGTACTACTTTGTTTTGTTTCCTTTTGACTTGAGACAGTTTCACTGTATAGAGTTCAAGGACCCTGAACTTAAGATCCTCCCACCTCAGACATTTGCCACCATATAAGCTTTTTGTCTTGCTTTTTGTATTTTTGTATTTTGTTTGCATATATGCATCTGTACTACATGCATGCAATGCCCACAAAGGCCAGAAGAGGGCACTGAATCATCCTGGAACTGGAGTTCCAAGTAGGTGCTAAGAATTAAACCCTGGTCCAGCTCAAGAGCAGCCAGTGCTTTTGACTGTGGCGCCATCTCTCCAGGACCTCTTTGTTGTTGTTGTTGTTGTTGTTGATGTTTTTAATTAGGAAACCTTCTTTCAAACTATCCTGTCTATCTTTACAATGACCTTTTTAGTGCCTTTGTGTATTAGCTACTATTATCACTGTGACAAATTGGGACAAATCACCTGAGCTTAAGGAAGGATCCATTCTGGCTCAGGGTTTGAGGGAATAGAGTTATCAAAGTAGGATGTCATGGGAGTGGGTGTATAGGGTACTGGTCACATTGAGTTTATAGTTAGGAAGCGGAAAGAGATAAACACCAGTGCTCAGCTGGTTTCCTTTTCCTCCTTTTTAGTCAGTGGAAGACCCTATTCTAGGATGGTCTTCTTCAGTTATAACTCTGCAGGAACCCTGCTTGATTCTAGATTTAGCCAAGTTAGCAAAGATTAACCATCACCTCTTATCAACTTGATGGTCAAACACATCACTTTATAACATCCTACCTCTGGCCCTGATAATATAAAATGCATCTAAGCCATCTCTAAAAGTCTCCAAAGTCTTAACAGTTCTAAGATCAAAAGGCTATGTTGCCTCCATTGAAACTCAGAAAGTCTCTTAACTGTGAGGCTCTGTGAGACAGACAAAAATGAGCCATACATTTCTAACACACAAGGCAAACTCTCATTCCAAAAGGGAGGCCATGAGGGAAGCACAGGGAATGATCAAACCAAAGCGAGAGTAACATCCAGCACAGAAAACCTGCAGCTTGCCCACTCAGGAGGCAGAGACAGGTGGATCTCTGAGTTTAAGCCTGGTCTACAGATCAAATTCCAGGACAGCCAGGGCTACACAGAGAAACCCTGTCTTGGGGATTGGAGGGAGAGAGGAATAAGAAAAGAAGGAAGAGGGAAATGAGGAAGAGAAAGAAAGAAAAAGAAAGCCTGCAGCTCCATATCCAGCATCTGGGACTCTTGGTAACATCATCTGGGCTCCACCAGTCTTAGGCAGCCCTGGCCTCCAGCTCTGCTGCCTAAAGCACACATAGCCTCCCTCCACTTCATGCCTGCAGCTTTCCCCTTCAATGTCCCATGACCCTAGGATCTCCAGCGTCCCAGGGTCTCCACTGTAACTTAGACCTCACCCCCACAGCGTCATACAGTGACCTCACAGAGCCTCCCGGTAGGGAACCAAGTCTACCACACAGACCTGGCTCGGGGAGCTTTCAGGAACCCTGGTGCCAGTCTCCTTGACCTTGTAACTCTTGCTCCAGATATGGTCTTGCCCTCTTCTGCCACAGCTGCCGTTGGCCTCTGTGTACGCTAGTGGTCTGGGGTTGCTGGGAATTGAACTCAGGACCTCTCGAAGAGCAGACAGTGCTCTTAACCGCTGCGCCACCTCTCCAGCCCACAAGCTTTCTCCTTTCAAATGAATGTGTGTTTCCCAACTTGGAACCTTTGGTGGTCAGGCTTATGCCCTAAGGGCATCTGTCCTATGGTAGAATGAGGGTTCTCTAGTTAAAGAAAGCATTTGACTGGGGGCTTGCTTACACTTTTAGAGGGTTAGTCCTTGATCATCACAGCAGGAAGCTGACAGGAAGGGCACTGGGGTAGTAGCTGAGAGTTTTTACATCCTGATCTTCAGACATTGGGTAAAAGGAGAGGGACAGTAGGCCTAGTATGAGCTTTTAAGTCCCACCTCCAGTAGCACACCTCTCCCAGAAAAGCCACAACACTCCAACAAGGTCACACCTCCTAATCCTTCCCAAACAGTTCTGCTAACTGGGGCCAAACATTCAAACATATGAGCTTGTTGGGACCATTCTCATTCAAACCACTACATGGTTAGTCTAGTTTATGTAATAGCTGCTTTTTTCTCTCTCTGCATCTGCCCTGTTCACAACTTAAAACTTATTCACCTCCCCCCACCCTTTTTTTTTTTCAACAAACTGGACATTTTCCACATATTCCTGACCAAGAGCAAGATGTTTTGCTATCTTAAAACATGTCTTTTGAATTCAGTCTCACATGAATTTTCAAGACACAGGCAGAAAGTGGCAGATTTTATTTATTTATTTATTTATTCATTTATTTGGCTATAATGTAATGTGAATGGTCTCCAGCAGGCAGACTTTATTTATTTATTAAGCTATGCTGTGATCTGAGTGGTCTCTAGCCCAGTTTAGGCTCCTTGTCTCTGCTGACACCCATAGACAGTGTTACCCGTCTGCTACTGGTGTTCGGTCTCTACCCTCTCTACTGACATGTTCTACTGGGCGTGCTAAGGTTCTCCTTAGCCTCCGGCTCTTACATGATGGAAAGGGGCCCTGGTCATTAATCTGCACACTTGTCCCCAACTTCCTTGAAGTTTCACATTCTATAACCTGTCTAAATTTAGTTTCAAGCCACGTACCTGCAATCTTAGGAAGTAGAGGAATGAAGGCCAGGAATTAAAGGCTAGCTTTGGCTACACAAAGAATTCAAGGCTAGGCTAGGCTGCATAAGACCCTGTCTAAATCTATAAAATAAATAAATAGCCTGGTAGTGGTGGCACACACCTTTAATCCCAGCACTCGGGGGGCAGAGGCAGGTGGATCTCTGTGAGTTCCAGGTTAGCCTGGTCTACAGAGTGAGTTCCAGCACAGCTAGGGCTACACAGAGAAATCTTGCCTCAAAATTAATTAATTAATTAATTAATTAATTAATAAAATAAGAAACAAAAATAAACAGAGTCTTTCCCTGGACTAGGAATGTAACTCAGTTGGTATTTGCCCAAAAATCATGGGTTCGATCCTAGCGCCATGAAACAAAGAAAAACAAACTAAGTCTCTTCATAATTTTCCAGACCTAGAAGAGCTAACTGAGGACAGGCACAAAGTGACCTCTCGTGCCTCTCCCTAGTCTTGAAGGCTTCAGAGTCAAAGGGGCTCCATGCACCCTCCCTCAAACAGCATCTTTGAGCCACTCACAGCAATGCACACTCCAGGGTCCTATCAGGCGTCTTATACATTGTCCCACGGACGGATAGTTCCTTCAGCATCCGAGAACCCTCAGGACACTGGCCCCAAACCTGTAATCTGGTGATGACAGGGAGGTC